CCGGGATGTGGTTGGGATTTGTGTGGTTCCCTCTTTCCTGGTGCCTCTCCCTCCAGCCAGGCTTTTCCCTAAATGGGGTTTGGGTTTTTTTTTTTAGCTGGATGATGCAAAATAGACTTAAAAAGGTTTAAAATTGGCTTTGGTGTCCCTGAAATCCTGTCCCCAGTGTCCTGGCTGATACCGCTCGCTCCCATTTCCAGGTGACCCAGCTCTTGCTGGGTGGTTGGACCCAAAGGGTCACTGGGATTTTGGGAATGCCTCCTGGAAAGGAGTCCACATCCCCTGGATGGGAGTGTGGCCGTCCTGCTGGGGAACCTCCAGCTCCCACCCAGTCACCCCAGCCTGGCTGAGCTCTCCCGATCACAGTTCATCCCTGGGGATGGTGGTGAAAGCCTTAAACCCGCGGTGCCGGGCTGGAGTAACTCTTGGGGTGCAGAGTTGGGGTGTTAAGGAAGCGTTTTCTCTACGAGGTGGGATTTTTCCAAGCAGGAGGGGAGTGGGAGACACTCCATCATCTTCCCAGCGCTGCAAACCCCTCCTGCCCCCTCTGGACAATAACCAAGGGGACCCAAAACCCGCTGCCTGCTCCGCTCCGGGACTATAAACGGGGGTGAGTGTCAGTGGAGCAGATTTAACACCAGCCTGGAGGTGAAGCTGTGGGGTAGGGGGGTCCCCACGGCTGCACTCCTCCTGCTCCAGCCAAATTCAACACCTCGGAGGGGAAGGACAGCGTTTGCTGGCTGCCACATCCCTCTGGGTTGCTCCAGCTTTGTGTTGGAGGAGCTGCTTTTCCTGGAAACCTCCCCGGTGCCAGTAAGGAGCTGATGAAGCTTTGGCTGCGGGGTGGTAAGAGCAAAGCCTGGAGATAACCGTGCGCGAGGCATCGCTGGACACCGGCACGCTGGCGATATGTGAGGTGAGAGCCAAATTAATGCCTCATCTCTCACCCACCGGTCCCGACCAGGCCCAGCTCGCTGATGCTGAGGCTGCTGCGGACAAAAAAGCTGAGCAGGGACGGGTTTGTTTTAACCCGGCCGCGGCTTCCGCCTCCTGCACCTGCCCCGGTCGGGAGCCGGCATTCACCGCACCGAAAAAGCTGGTTTTCTCCCCCCGGTGGTTTGGAGAACCTGGTTCAAACGTTCATGGTGTGTCTCTCCATCCCTCTGTCTCCTCTGTGCTTCCTCAGCCTGGATGAGGATGGAGATGGTGGAGCCTTCCCCCCATGCATGGGTGGTTTCCTGGTTGTTGGACCCGCGGTTTGGTAGCGCCGGTGCCGGTTGGGAAGGCACCAGCTGCTCTTTGCTTCCTACCACAAGCGATTTGCATCAACTTGGTGGTGAGTTGAGCCAGGAGAAGCTTTTTTTGGGGGGGTCTGCTGAGCTGGAAAGCGCTCGTGTGCCGACTCCAGGTAGTTTTGGCTGCAGGGATGGAAATGAGCCGGTGCTTGTTCCTTATCGCAGCGAATCTTCCCCGGGTGAGCGATTTCCTTGGCAGCGTCCCACCCTGGCGTGGGTTTGATGGGACGAGGGCGGCCAACGCAAGATCCCGATGGTTGTAAACAAAGCTGCGAGTAAGGACGCGTGAAGGGACTGACGTGCTGCCGGCGGCTCTGCCGGGCTCATACCGTGCCCAGGCTGCTGCCCCACCGTCACCAGCCACTCTGTGCTCTTATCCCTGTGTCCCCTTGGCTTTGGGCAGCACGAAGATGATGGGTGATGCTTCACGTGCTGGCACTGCCATGTGACATCCTTCCAGCTGTAAAAACCCCGAGTGCTTCTCGCATCTCCCCAAAACCGCGGCGCCCAGCTGCTCTTACATTTTTCTGACCGAAATTTCCAACTCTTTGGGTTTTGCTGAGGAAAATTATTTCCTGGAGTAAAAGCTGCAGAGAAGTGTCTGGTGAAATGCTGGGTGAGTGCCAGCAGAGCCCAAGGAAAGTTTCTCTTGGATAATTGTCTTATTCAGGGGGGGATGAAGGGCTCTGGCCGCGCGTGTGCGATCCGTAGGAGGGCTCCTCATTTCCCAGGGAGCCGGAGTTTGCGTGAGCAGCATATACAAAATATTTTGGAAACAAACAGATGGCTTGTCGAGACTTGGAGGGCGAGGAGAGGGCTTGGAAGCCGGGGAAGGCAGAAATACTTTGGCGTTGCTTTTGGAGAGCAAGAGGCTGACGTGGCCGAGGTGTGGCAAGGGGCGGGCACCCGGCGCTGCGCGGGCACCTACCCCAGCTCCGCGGTGCTGCCGCCTGAGAACCCGCTGCCCTGGTTGTCGTACACTGAGCAGCTCCTGCTTTTGGGGTCACTTTTAATCAGGATGATGAGCAACAGCTGCCTGGGTGCTGGTGAGGTCTGTCCGGGACAGGGGGGTTGTGCTGTGGGTGCGCCGTGTCGGTGTTGAGCTGTGAACAGAGAGTGGGTGACCCCATGGGAGTGTTTTGGGTGTCTAGATGCTGCTTTAGGGCTGTGAGCATCTCCTGCTGAGCTTTGCGTGGTGCTGGACGTGGCTGTGATGCCTTTTTGATGGGTGGCACGGGTTGAAGGCTTTGGGTGAGGAGTTAAGTGGTGGAGACAAACCAGGTCCTGG